CTTCCTTGGAGGTTTTTCAAGAGAGGTTGGGCAGCCACCTGTCAGGAATTCTTCAGCTGTGATTCCTGTAAGGGGTGGACTAAATGATCCTTGGGGTCTCTCCGAAATCCATAATACAGTGGTACCTCAGGTTACGTACTTAATTTGTTCCGGAGGTCCGTTCTTAACTGGAAACTGTTCTTAACCTGAAGCACCACTTTAGCTAATGGGGCCTCCTGCTGTCGCCACGCCACCGGCGCACGATTTCTGTTCTCATCCTGAAGCAAAGTTCTTAACCCGAGGTAATATTTCTGGTTAGCGGAGCCTGTAACCTGAAGTGTATGTAACCTGAAGCGTATGTAACCCAAGGGACCACTGTACTGTGATGTCCCTGACCAATGAAGGAGCCTGGAGCAGAAGAGGTGAAAAATGCAGAAAATATTCTTTTGGGGGGCAGCGGCAGGAGGAAGGGGCATTTAAGCCAGTGGTGTTGGCTTGTCCTACAAAAGAGGGGACAACGCTACCACTGGCAGAACAAGTAAGCAAAGATATAGCATAAACCTCCCAGACTAAGAAATCTTTGTCCAGGTCCTTACAGAAGTTGGAAATGAGTGGCAATGAATGATGAGGTGTCCCAAAGCTCAGGTAGGGAGGCTTATGAAAACGGTAGAGCGGTCTCGTTTCGGGTTTCTAATAAAAAAAGTATAAGCCTAAGCAAAATTTATACCTGCTTGTGAAAGTTGTGCTGGAAACAAAAGAGGAGCAGACCCCCCCCCAACCAACCACAGAAGACTCCCTTCACACCGTATTTGCCCAGAAAGTACTGAAATACTTGGCTTTAATAGGGCTCTTTCCTGCCCATGACCTGCAGTTTCCTGAGATGCAGAGTCAGCTCTGTTGGGAAATGCCAGCTGCTACTGGTATTATGCAACATTTTAGCAGGATAGAATATCACGGTGCATACAGGTACAGTGGGAAATTTTAGGGGCTAAATGCACCACCAGGTTTGTTCTGTCTGAATCAACATGGTCTGGGTCATAAGATGTCTTTGTTCAGATTGTGTTCAAAGGTGGACTTGCCAAGCAGTTTCCCAAACAAAGTCCTTTGTGTAGTGGGCATTGTTAAACTGTGGAACTCACTTCTGCAGGAGGCAATGACTGACCACCACCAACCTAGCTGGCCTTAAAAGATGACCAGACAAATCCATGGGGGATAAGGCTACTAGCCATGGTGACCATGCTCTGCCTCAAGGATCAGAGGCAGGAATGTTAATAATAATAATAATAATAATAATAATAATAATAATAATAATAATAATTTATTATTTATACGCTGCTCCCATCTTGCTGGGTTTTCCCAGCCACTCTGGGTGGCTCCCAACACAATTCAAAGTACAATAAAACATCAAACATTAAAAACCTCCCTAAACAGGGATGCCTTCAGATGTCTTCTAAAAGTCAGATAGTTGTTTATTTCCTTGACATCTGATGGGAGGGCGTTCCACAGGGCGGGTGCCACTACCAAGAAGGCCTCTGCCTGGTTCCCTGTAACTTGGCTTCTCACGGCGAGAGAACAGCCAGAAGGCCCTCGGTGCTGGACCTCAGTGTCCGGGCAGAACGATGGGGGTGGAGACTCCCCTTCAGGTATACTGGACCGAGGCCGTTTCTGAATACTGGTTGCTAGAAACTGCAGGAGGAGAGAGGGCTCTTGCACTCAGGTCCTGCTTGTGGTCTTCCCCTATTCAGGGCATCTGGATGGTACACTTTGAGAACAGGATGCTGGCTAGTGGCCTGATCGAACAGGCTCTTCCTCTTTTTTTAAAGACAGACTGGAGTGAGTTGCAGAAGTTGGGAGATGCTGTGGCCAAGTCTGGGAAGCCTTCCAGGGCCCTTTCAGGCCACGGAACAAGTCGAGAAGCCACCCGTCCCCCCCATCCTCCCCGCTTGCCTGTTGTTTATTACAGCCCAGGTCCTCTAAGAGCCTTGCCTCTTGCCAGACCTTTGCCGAGGAATGTTAACACTTTTCTGCCTTCCTGTGGCTTATTCCTCAAGGCCTTTCAGCAAGTTGGCTCCTTCGCTCTGCCTGTTTCTGCTCTTAATTCCACCAGCCCTGATTGTGTTTTATGTTCCCTTTCATCGGCGGGTCAGATTGAAAGTTAAGATGTGTCAGGGCGAATAATAATAATAAAAACCCCACTCCTTTCCAGGGTCCCTAAGGTCAGCTTCCTAGGCATACTCTTGCCTTCTCGTCACCACTCCATGGGGTGTCTTGGAGATACAGAGCGGCTCTCTGGCCTGACCTTTAAGCCCGCCTGGGATGGAGAGCCGGCTGCCAAGTTTTTCACCACTGGCTCTCTCCTCTGCCTTTAATTGCAGCCCAGCAGCATAACCAGCATTGCCAACGTTTTGTTTCAAGATGATGGGCCCTCTGGCTGGAGCTCATGCTTGGAGCCAGCATCAAAAATAGCAATTATGGGGCAGACCCATAACAGAATTTGTCAGGATCCATCCTGGTGCCTTCTCAGTAGAGCTTGATAGTTCCTGGGATTTATTTCTTGGGCTTTTGACCTGGGGTTATATCTGACATTAGTGCTGTTTGAAGACTAGTCACTGTTTGAAGACTATCCCTACCTGACTGGAAGGATACTGGAATCAGCAAGGGAAACCCACGTGACCTGAAGGTGCTGCTGTGCAATGCCAGGTCAATGATTCACAAGACCACTGCCATCCACAACTTGATCGTGGATGGAGGACTTGACCTGGCATGTGTAATAGAGACTTGGTTGGATGAAGCAGATGGGCCTGTCCTTGCTGCTGCTTGTCTGCCAGGTTTCTCTTACACACAGCAACCCAGGTCATGTGGGCAGGGAGGAGGGGTTGCAGTGATTTTTAGGAAGTCATTAGCTTGCACCAGGCGTCCTATTGGGAAGACCCAGTTCTCTGAGTGCATGTTCTGGAAGTTGGGCAATAGGGACAGTACAGGATTCCTATTGGTGTACCGACTTTCCATTGCACCAAGAATTCTGTGCCTGAGCTGCTTCAGGTTGTGCCGGATGTTTTCCTGGAGATACCTACC